TCTACTTATTCAAAGTAGAACTTCAAGTCAGCCAACAGATATTAGTTGTAGGTAAGGAAATATAGAAACAAGAAATATACTCTCCTGAATATTATTTTAAATTGTGCGCAATATGCAATTATAAATGTTACGATAAAAATATTGTGAATAGTTCTGTTATTTACCCGCATACTATGTTTTTTTAATTCAAGTCGTTGCTAAAATTGTGTTTTTATGAATGTTTTGGCAAAGAAAATCATACTAAGCTGTAAGAATTGTGGAACATACTTTAATTTTTAGCCAATTTTTTTCCATTCAATTATATAGTAATTAATGTAAATATGTATTGAAATTAAAGAAATGAAAACCTCGCTTGAGGAAAAGAGAAAAACAAAATATGATACATTTTGAAATAATAAAAGGTAATTAATGTGTAAAACAGACCAGAAAAAGAAAAGATTTGTTTTCTTAAATTAAACATTTCATAAATGACTTAAACAGAGAGGCATGATGTAGGAAGCAATGTTCATGTGATGTTCGTGGGCAGGGTAAGCACAGGGACCTTCATAAGGGCCATCCCACTTCCATCCACTTTTTTAAAGTTAAATGGGAAAGGATAAAGTGGCGCTTGTAAAATGGCGACTGGCTGGAATGCTCCAGGTGTGCGGGTAAGCCTGGATCCGATGACCGGGGTAATAATATGTTCCGCGCCTAGAAACGTAGTATTAGGCGCATTATAAATGTGAGCTATTATATTATTATTATAAAGTACCAAACAAGGAAATTAACTATGACGAGATAGAGTATCTGAGTTAACGAGCTTATTACATAAATTAAAGAAAAATCTTGCTTAGGATCCGCCAGACGCTACACTTAATGAGATTCATGTTGTAAGAAATGCTTTTGAAAAGTAACATGGAAGAATATTAGATGGATTGATATAATTGTACGTTCAGGAATTAGATAGGCCGAAAAGGGTGAAAAGAGTACAAGTATTTTTTTGCCTTAATGCCTTGAAAAGCGAAACTCGCGGAAGGAGCAGTGTAAAAAGTTGATAACAGATGATTGCACTGAGCTTGTTAATCCATAACTAATCCAGATTGCATATTATAAAAATGTGTACAGGTCAACAATTGATAAGAATACTCAACATGATTCTACATGTATATTATATAATACATTTATCCCCTGTCAAGAAGAAGGCGACATTGTTCTATTTATTTATTTTATTTATTAGTCTTTTTTTAAGTGGGGTGGCTCCATCAGTAGTTAAATACTGTTTTCCGTGAAGGCCCTATTGTAAAGTGTAAAAACAATCTTTCAATTGGTGAATGTTTAAATGCCGTTAGAAAAATGGCCAACGGCAAGAGCCCAGGTAACGATGGTTTCTCATGTTAATGGTATTTAACATGTTGGAATATTATAGAAAATCTGTTGTTCAGGTCTAGAATATAAACGGGTTTTCGTGAAAGGAAGGTATACGGGGGAGTCTGTGAGAAAAATTTAAGATATTATGGATTATACCAAACTCAAAAATATATCGGGTATTTTGCTTATTCTGGATTTTGAAAAGGCATTTAATTCACTAGAGTGGAATTTTCTAGCGGAACATTGAGACGTTTCCTGTTTGGATCAAATTTTAATGGCAGAACTCTTTACGCAAACACAAATAGTAGTATGATAAAGAATGGAAAACCATCTGCATATTTTCCGATTCGGAGAGGGGTTCGGTAGGGGGATCCGCTAAGTTCCCTTTTAATTAATTTTAGCAGTCGAAACATTATCCTGGTATATTCGAGATAACGATAGTATAAACGATATATCTGTAAATAATGCCAAGGTAAAGATTATTCAATGTGCAGACGATACAACATTGTGTCTTTGACGGTATAGAATTTGCTAAAAAGTTCCCTTTGTAATTGCATAATTTTGATAAGATGTCAGGTTTGAAACTGAATGTAAATAAGACCCAAGCTTTGTGGCTAGGTCCAAAAAGGTTTAGTAACGAGAATCCACTTGGTATTAAGTGTCCAACACAGCCAGTTAAGCAGTGGCGGCCCTCCCAGGGGGCAGGGGGGGGGGGGGGGCAGAGTGCCCCCCACTTTTTCAAGGACCCATTTTACATTATCATAAGTGCCCTTTTTAATCTCTAGTAAGTGCCCCTAGTTAGGTACGAGAAGTGCCCCCTTCACCTCGGATAGATGTCCTATTTAAATCTGATAGGTACGTGCCTCTGTTCCTTTGACAAGTGCCCCTTTTCCTTTAAATAACTACCCCCATTTTAACTCGGATAAGCGCACCTTATATTTTCACATGTGCCCTTTTCCCTTTCTAACTAAGTGGCCCTTTTCCTAATAATAAGTTTCCCATTGAAAAAGGGCCCTTCCCCTTCTCATCAGTGCCCCTTCTCTGGTAAATGACCCTTTTCAGGTACGAGAAATTACTTCTTTTCACTTCAGATAGGTGCCCCCTTCACCTCCGATAAATGCCCCTTTAAAATCTGTTCGGTGCCAATTTTCTAACTAATGCACATTTGCCTTTATTACAAGTGCCCCTTTTTTCACATAAGTGCCCCTTTTCATGTCTAGTCATTGCCTCTTTTCAGATGCGATGAGTGCATCTTTTCACCTCTGATAATTTTCCTTTTAACAATATATTACAATATCTTATAAATGCCCCTACCAACATCTGATGGGGGCCCCTTTTTCTTCGAAAAATGCCCATCCCTGGTTAGTGCCTCTTTTTGAGGGTGTAAGAAGTGCCCTATTTTCACCTCTGATAATCACTTTTTGTTCTTTGGCACATGCTCCTTTTCTTTCCTGATAAGTGTCCCCTTTTCCTCTCATCATTAAAGAGCAATTTAAGAGCAATTTTCCCCGAAGCTCGCTACGCTCGCACGCATCTATAGATGATATATTTATGTTACTTATCAAAGGTCTTTTCAGTCCTCCGTTATGAGAATGTGCACATAATCCCATTAGGATTGGGCTTTTCCCTCTTTATAAGATGTAATTTTTTCGTACTGCGACCTCAGACATCTTAAAATTTTTCCTCGCTCGCTAGCAAACAATGTTGTAGACAATCAAAGTCCACTGCAAAGCATGATGCTTAAGTAATATCTTGTATGGTGTTTAAAGTGAAACAAATATTGAAATCATCCCTGATAATTGTAATCACAGTGTAGGGGTATATACCAATGTCTAAAAAATTGTATATTTTCGCTCTGAGATTTCCTTTTGTAGGTTCCCTTTTTTCTTGGTGCCTCCCCCCCCCCCCCCCCCCCACTTTCGAAGTCACTCAGCCGCCCTGCAGTGAATGCATTATTAGACTGTTTTCCTTATAATAAAGATTAAGCTCAAAAATTAAACTTAAAAAACAGAATCAGACAAATATAAAAGACGATTTTGAATATGTGGAAATGCAAAAATGTAACACTTTCAGTTAAAAATACTTTTAATAAAAACTTTTGCCTTTAATAGCAAAGTTCATATATTTAGCTTCAGCTTTAGATGTCTCAGAATATGTCATTCAATGTAAAGCACAATCATATTCGACTTTCTATGGAGTGGAGGTAAAGTTATGATAAACAAACACTATCATAGTGGATTTAGAAGAAAGGGGTTTCAAGATGGTCGACCTTAAAACAATTTTTGCACCTCAAAAGTTGAAGTGGATAGATATTAATAACACAACTAGAAATGTGTGGAAGAATATCTTTGATAAGTTCATTGAACCTGGTTACCTAGTTTTTTTATTTTAATGTACATCCAAAACAAGTTTACACGTGGAAGAGCATATCGCCGTTTTTTAAAGGAATGTTGAAAGCTTATTTCAGTTTTATTAATCCAGACGATGTAGAAATTACTAATCAAATAATTTGAAATAATCGTAATGTTTTTGTTTCATCCAAACCCTGTGTTTATAAAAGCGTGCATGTTAAAGGTATGAACTTTGTTAGTGCTTAATAAAATAACTGCGGGTCAATAGTTCCATTTGATAGTTGAAATAGGAGTTCCCCCGAATTGTGTAATGCGTTGGAGGAGTATTGTTCATGCCATACATGTAGCCTATAAACAGAAACTTAGACAAGGTTTTGATGGGAAGAATTGTGTATCCAAGGCTTTTACACTTATTACAAATGATTCAGAGTTACAGCTAGAAAACATGACACCCTAGAAATTTTACCGTATTCGAATTAAAAGGATTTTTTTTATACCTCATGCTTCTCAAAAATAAATATATATATACATCTTTTATATCAACTATTGAAGTTAAAACAAGAATTTCCAGTTCAAAATTAACACAAACTGTCTTTTAACTAATTATAGATAACGTAAAATGAAATTGGTTGACTCAGAACTATGTAATTTGTTGTGAAAAGTTCCCCGAAATAATGGAGCATATTTGTGGGGAGTGTTCATATATAAGGCCGATATGGTCAGTCTCAAGACTGGCATAGAGATAGTACTACTACCTATATCAGTTTTAATTTTTACTCTGTATCATTTCAATATAAAAGAAATGGCCCGAATTTGTTTGTTTAATCCTAATGAGAAAAAAAAGATATTTGATAACAGATACAGGAAACATAAATACCATCGTTTAGCTGTTTCAAACATTAAATTAACTTTAATTTTTCTCTAGAAAAGCAAGTGGCTTTGAAAAAAAAAAAAATACAACGAGCAAATTCTTTACTAAATGGCATGTGTTAAAAGGTAATGCTTTAGAAGATCAATATACATGTACAATGTTACTGTTACGACATTTTTATTTGTTCTCTTTTTTTTCTTCTTTCATTTCTATGAGATTGTAAAATTGTATTTTTTTGTTTCTGTTCCGTTCAAACAATGTATTTCATTATACCCCGAAGTTAGGTGGGGTAAATTTAAAAAAAAACTTATTTTAGGAGGTGAAAATACAAAATACAAATTATCATTACTTTTGCAATGTGAAAAACAAATTTGCTCTTTCTTAATGCCACACTCTATGCTTATTTTACTTATATTAATCTCATCTTGCAGGTATTAGCTAACGTAATGTTCTCTATCCGTACGTCTTACACGCCCATTTACACACTAGCTATATGTACAACAGAATTAAGTACCAATACAGACCACCCCTTCCCATTTTTTTTGTCTGGGTAGATAAATTCGTTGGGAATTGCAAATGCTGGGGCTGAGTGCATGCATGCACTCAAAAGTAAAATATAAACGTTTGGGGGAAAATTAACGTTTACAATTTAACCGTTATAACATTTTCAGATTAATGAACTCACTGGTATTCTATCTTTGTTATTGTATGAGCCATTGAAAGTACCAACGTTTGGGAAAAAAACGATGCCCATCATTATCCTACCAAAACAAGAGCATCCAAGTGAGACGCTTTATTGCAATTCAATTATACATCTATTCATTAAAAATACAGACTTTTTCCATGCCGGAAATATTCCATTAAGGTAATGTGATGAACGTCGATATTTAATTGTCTGATAGTGCAAATTGGTCTTGGTTCTTTTTAATCAGCGTATCATTAATACCAGCTTGTTTGTATCGCAACGTGCATAGCAACAAAATATAATGGTGATACTATCAATATCTATCCTTTTGATCCACTCACAAACCCCACCCCTCTGAAAACATTTGACGCTGACAGGTATTCCAATGAAGCTGAATCATAATTGTCAATCCACTTTCGGCATGTTATTAGCGTAACATGTATTTTCACATATAAATAAATGTACGCCCCACTCCTCAAAATAAGAACATTGGCCCTAATACCTAACACAGCTTTTGAATAATTTCGATCTAGAATTATGATTTTTTTTTTATTAAAGATAACAAGCGTTTTCACAAACATCACAAACCAAAACGAAGCAAACAAGCTAATTTAGAGGCGGGGATCCTGGGAGAAGGGGGAGGGGTTAGACAATGGTCACAGTGCCCCCAACCTTTTTAAGTACCCCAAAAGGGCCCTTTTGAACAAAGAAAAGGTGCCTCCTTTTACTTGATCTTTTTGTTTAAAGCCCTTGAAGATTGATCTGTTAAGTATTTTATGTTTTTGTTTCAATCATATTAAAATAGCCACCATGTGCTTGATTTTATTTTATAGCCGTTTTACTTGTTATCCGTTTTAATAAATACATGATTCCTTTCTAGATTTAGATAATTAAGTTGTTTAGAAGGATGTATTTTCATTTAAATTAATGCAAATTCCTTATAATAAAGTTAAACAATTAAATTTAAAGATGATTCATAGGTTTATTGCCTCAAATGAAAATTTATATAAATGGCATACAGTGAATAATAATTTATGCAACACTTGTGAAAAATTCGATGCAACGTTTCACTTTTTGTTTGTATAACAGGGACATGATTATGTTTTGGAAAATAATTTGTAATTTAAAACTTCGAATTAACCAAAATATATCAGTTGTACGTAAGGGCATAGCCTATAGTCCGGCAGCCCAGAACACTTTGATCAAACGAACGAGGTAACAATATCTGAGTATTGGAACATTTGGGAAAAACCTTGGATATCAAAATGTGGACGTCTGCCGGAGTCCCTCTGCTGCATGTGGCCCCTGGGGCCAGTTGAGGGGGGCCCCAAAATGCATCTGATCAACCGAACGAGGTACCACTTGAAACCAGTGTTAACTAATTGTATGAATGCCACTGAGTACTGAATGGCCCATGCCAGACAAAATTTCTGCTGCTAAGGGCCCGCCAGACGCCCCCATAGGGGGCCCCTACAAAATGCATTTGCTCAAACGAACGAGGTACCACTTGAAACCAGTGTTAACTAAATACATGAATGCCACAGAGCACTGAATGACCCATGCCAGACAAAATACAATAAAGGGGGAAAAACAACGAACCAAAAAACAAAAACGGGGAACTACTTATTCTGATTCGTTTGCAACAAAAAGTGCTTGAGGGCATTTTTGAAACCACTTATAGAGGGTTTTTCTTTTAATGTGCCGGGAAGGGCATTCCAATATTTTGGGCCAGTGAAAGTGAAAATCCTGCTGGAAAATATCGTTCTTGGTTTTGGTAGGTGATAACATTAGCATCATTAGCCATTATCTTAATCATCATTTTTCTGTTCTTGTTCTATTTGTTTATGCAATGTTAACATTTTTATAAACACAGGCTAAAGACCAAAAGATCGGTGTAATGTGGAAATTGCTGTTTGGCACTGTAACCTGTTTGTCCTTAGGTAAGAATAAGTGTGACTTCATAATTATATACGTCATATTTTCATGATTGTACGAATATTGCTGAAAAAGTTGGCTCATAAAATTACCATTATGAAGCGAAATAGGAGCGAGGTGTAAAATCTACGTAGGGTCTCTAATAAATAGTTCGACGTTTGGAAAATTCCCCCTAATGAATGTTTCAAACTATTGTAAGGGAAATTTCAATCATAAGGGGTAGGGGAGGGGAAGAATAAATAGGAGATGGGGAAGGGGGAAGGAAGGAGAGATGGTGAGAGGTGACGGGGAGGAAGAGGAGGAAGAGAAGGAGGTTGAGGAGGAAGAGGAGGAGAATGAGGGGAATATGGGAGAAAGAGAATGATACTAAAGGGGGAGAGGAAGAGGTGGAAGAGGAGGAGGTAGAAGAGGAAGAAGATGGGGGAGGAGGAGGGGAGGCGGTGAGGAGGAGGGGGCGGTGAGGAGGAGGGGAGGCGGTGAGGAGGAGGGGAGGCGGTGAGGAGGAGGGGAGGCGGTGAGTAGGAGGGGAGGCGGTGAGGAGGAGGGGAGGCGGTGAGGAGGAGGGGAGGCGGTGAGGAGGAGGGGAGGCGGTGAGTAGGAGGGGAGGAGGTGAGGAGGAGGGAAGGCTGAGAAAGGGGGAGGTAGAAGAGGAGGGACAGCGGGAAGAGGAGGAGGAGGGGAGGTAAGGGAGGAAGAGGAAGGATTGGGGAGGGGAATAGGAGGAGGGAGAGCAGTTGGAGGAAGAGCTCACTAGCGATTTTTTTTTGTGTGTGTGTTTATTCCACACAGCCTTGCCAGCTTTATCGGATTCGTCGAAGGTGACGAAAACATCTTGTCCAGGCAAGTTCAGCAAGCAAAGCACCTTGCCGACATCCTTTAATTGTAAGATGGTGCGACTGCCCGATGGCACCATGTTGCAGACCGTCCCAAAACTCTTCTCTACCCCTGCCGTCTTCGCTGGAAAAATTCCTGGCCAACACATAATATGCAGAATCCCGGGTAAATCTCATGCATCCTTGGTTTCATTTTTGTTATAAAATATCAAATCCCTTAAAAAAAGCTAACCAATCAATAATAGTACAGATCATTAATTTTTAATTGACTTTATAAATATCCGATCCCACTATCATTAAAACTACTAACAATACTATACGAATACTACTAGAGGTGTACCACCACTTCTACAACTTACTACTACAAATACAACTACTACGACTACTACTACTACTACTAATTGTTTACTACTACTACTACCACTACAATTACTACTACCACTACTACTACTACTACTACTACTACTACAACTACTACTACTCCTTCGACTTCTACGACTTCTACTACTACTACTATTTGAAATTCCTCTCTAGATGTTTATTAAAATCTATCGAAAATAATGAAAGGAACATCAAATTATCTAGCAAACAATATTCTGGTGCGAGACGAGCAACAATATTTGTGAATTCGTATTCACCAAATAATATTCTCGTTTTTCCCTTCGCTATCAAGTACCAGAATTTGAAAACAGTGTGAAATAATTATTGTTTTCTCACTTGAATTAAGGCCTAAATGGATGGGCTTAAGTAATTGTTAAGTGCTAGAAAAACAAGTGACAAACTTCGCGGTCTCGGTTCCAAATAATTTCTTTTTTTTTAGGCCGCTTTTTCTTTATCACGATTTCTTTTATTACAGTACAGGTACGTAGGAAGATCTAAAAAGGGCAAGGCTGTACGACACTTGTTTCTGACGAAAATTGCTCCACGTTAATTTCTTAAAGGGGAATCCAAATCTTGTTAAATATTCATTTGTATGAAAGTAGAAAAGTAAGAGAAAAAGATTGGCAAAATAAATCGAATTAACTTCAAGGGAGTTATGAATGATTGAAATATGAGATCACTAAATATATGCCAATCTCCAATTGATTGTGACATAGTCATGGACAACTTTCCCGTTCGTCGTGGATAAAAATGGTTAGAAGTGCCTTCTCCCTTGGGGCAGTAGGCAAAATATATAATTTCGGATAGCACATTATCATCGGTTCTCTCAAATGGAAAGGCCCTCCAGAGTCAAACATTTGGAAAAATTAACATTTTAGTCATTTTGTGTGTTGAAACAAATTTTCTTATTTTTTATCCGATTCCATTTGAACTTTCATCAGTCTGCTTCTCTGATATTTCTGCTTTCTTATAGAGTAGTTGCCTATTATGATTGGGTTTTCATGTAACTGTAACAAACACTATACCTGACCCTAACTCTAAATCCTAACCTTAAAGCCAATTGCAACTCTTACCCTAATCATAAACCTTTGACAAAATAAAGCCAGGAACAATTAATGGGGGATTTATTAAAAAAATAGTCGGGAAGGGCTGTGAATTACACCAGGCAAAACAGTGTATTTAGAGAATGGGCACTGACACCAATGCAATGGGTATCCGATGGCTATGGAGTGTGGTCTACGTGGCGTTTGACATCTTTAAGCCCTGGTAAAAATGCATTATTATTAGTCTTGTTATATCTTTTTTATGTTAATTTGTGAAAATCCCGAAAATATATCTTTTCACACCAAACAGAACAAAGTGTAATGATAATTTGTTAATCAACGTTGAGTTTTATCCCGTTTATTACTTATTTCGCAGATTGTGGCAAAAACCTCTGTAAAAACGGCTGGTGTGAGGAGACTATGGTAGGCTACAACTGTACCTGCTCAAGTGGGTTTCAAGGGAGACACTGCGATGAACGTAGGTGTAATATCAACGTAGGCGTATCGGGGGAGGGGGAGGTGTGGCTAATTAATGAACAAAGAGCATAAAGAGACTTTCTACAGG